GTTCCCTAACAATCTGGGATTTTCTAAATCTGACTGTTTGTTTTCCACAGCCTTTATCCACCATCTCTCTTTGAGTATTTCTTTGTGTAACCAGTGTCACATTTCACTGTCCTTCTTTTCCACAAACCACTCCATTTTGCGTTCTTTGTCATTAACAGAATTATTATTATTATTGCTTTTACGACTGAGACCAGGGATTGATATCAGTTAGAGAACCATTGAAAACCAGGGAGTACTGGAAAACTGTTTGCTAGTGACTTGCTACAAGACGGAGTTTCCTGCAGTTCTGGTGAGAAATTGTGACTAGTGAAGTCCATCCAATTGGGAGTGAGGATGGATTTCCCGCCTATGATATTGGTTGGTAGTTGCGGTAGAAATGACGAATCGGTAGACGTTAGAATTCATGGGACATTGATCTGGATGCCAGTGACTGAATGGCAAACGAGATCGCCTTGTAACCAGAAGGTCTTAGGCTCGAAACCCGGTGGGTGTGTACTGCCGTCGAAAAGTTGCAAACTAGGAGGAAACAGTTGTCGCCCACTTTCTGGTTTTCAGTGCTTGTCTAACTATTATCAGTGCATAGTCTAACTTGCAAAACAAATGAAATCCTTACAAATCAACTCTTGTAAATTAGTATTGCTGTTATTACAAGGACTTATATTAAAATGTATGTACACCATCATGTCATCATATTAGCAAATCAGCCTGATCGGATTACCTCAAATATTACGTTGGAAAGTTGTGTGTCTTGTAATAGCGCATGATGAGATGAAATTGAAAACAGTATCACTCATAGCAAATATATGTTGCTTAAAATGTTAAGTGAGAAAACGTTGTGTAATTTTTTGCAACATTTCAAACTGTCGTATGATAAAATCAAAATATTTGAATGCATAGAGCGCTTATTATTCCACACAAATCAATGAAACTTTATGTATATATTTTTGACGAGAAGGGAGAATAAAGAGGCGTTGACTGTGAGGTATGAGATTCAGTACACTGAAGCACACTTCCTTTCGACCATTATCAGAAGCTCTGAGGCTATATTCCATTTGTCTGAAGGCGGAAATATGATAAAAATTACCGTCCTGGGAGTTAAATACCTATGGAAAGTATAGTGATGCTAACTAACATTCATTTAGGAAACAGTTGATAAGTAGAAAATACCAGTGTAACAATAGCTTTAAATTGTCCTGTGAGAAATTCTTCAGAGCGAATTCTGCGTGCCAGTTTTAAGAATTCGGAACACACGTGTGAGTGAGGTGAAGAAATAAATATAAACTAAGTCAGTTGACATCTCAGGAGTACTCACTATATTCATCTTGAATTTTCATTGGCTCATTGCACATTTTTCACACCTCTTACTGTCATCATTTTACTCAGCCTAATTTCTTCCTCTTCACTCTGTCAGTAGTCAAATTCAATAAGCCTGTACATGCTTCATTCGTCGGTGGAGTCGGTGGGTATACTGTTCGCCAAGCACGGATTTGCTTTTGGTTCTACTACCGGCCAATGAACTTCTAAACATTACATAGGCGATAAAATGCTAGGAAAAGACGAAAGTTTTGGCGTCACACTAGCATAATCAAGCTGAAATAAAAATACACCTGCTAGAAGAACTTCAAAACTTAACGCCTGAATAATTCAGAAGTTACCTGGTGGATGATGACTAGCAGTGGAGTCCATGATGTGCATTTCGTCCTATTTGGAACTCGTCTCCTGGATATACCTGTACTCCTCAGTGAGTGAGGATGTTCTGCCCGAATGCTTACAATGCAATCAGAAATAAACAGAAACCAAGCGTAAATAATAACAAATGCATTGCTGACAATGAAATATTCAATGCCTAATAAACTGATGACGAAACCGGTCACTCTATGTTCTGTTTTCATCATCAATTAACGGCGGCCTGTTTGACACCTGGGCTACCTTTCCGTACATCTACATATTTGCATGTAATACATCATGTTTTCATTTTTCATTTTAACAAAATATGATCACAAATCGTATCAAATACAGAAATGAATTCATTAAATGTTTTAAACCGTATGACTTTCATGGATCTAATAAACCAAAGTGAAAACATCATGGTGGTTGGCAACGTTCTCTCAATTGGACACGTTTATATCGCACAACCATTCATGTTACTGTCAGTTCAAACTGCCGTTCACTTCCCAACAAAATTATGTATCTCCGGTCTCTCTTATCATCTGATACTTATCACAATACGGCGATATTCGCATTACAAGAAACATGGTTCCATGATCTTTATGATGACAACATGGTTTCTATGAATGCTTTGCGAAGTATGCGCTGAAGATGTTGCTCAGTAGAGCAATGAAAGCTTCGCAACCAAACCATCCAGCTCAGAGAACACAACCACACCAAAAAAACTCTTAATAGATCTTTCATCCGCCCTCCTAATGTACCCTTTAGCTTCAATGGTACAAATAAAATGACCAGTGACTTTCATAGTTTTACAACTTCTGATGTTCTGAAATGTTTAAAATCCATTAAACCTTCCCGAAGTCTAGGCCCTGATGGTATACCTGCCATTGTCCTAAGGAAATGTGCTGATATTTTTAAATAACCCGCTTACAATCATTTTCAACACTTCTTTTTCTAATAATGTTGTACCCTGTGAAAAGATATTAAAATCATCCCTGTACCCATGTCAGGTTCTGGTAATAATGTTAAGTTAAGACCTATCGCTGTTACCTCTCCTTTTTTGAAACTAATGGAGAAATTATTGTTACTGAAACTTGTTCCCTCCTTAAGTTTCTCAAACGATCCAAAGCAGTTTGCTTACAAACAGCATAGAAGCACTCTGGACGCTGCTGCTGTCTTTCATCACAACATTGTATCCTCCTTAGACAAAGGGGTCAAGTATGTCCATTGTACGTTCCTTGATTATACATCTGCTTTCGACTCTGTACCTGGAGGCCTACTGTTAAACAAACTTAGCCTTACACAAACTGAGTCCTGGGCTATCAACTGGCTACACTCTTACTTCTCTAATAGGATGCAGTTCACGGTATATAATGGTGTATCTTCCTCTTCTTTGCTTACTGAAGCTGGATTTCCTCAGCGTGCTGTTCTCTCTCCGTTTCTCCTTTCCTTCTTCTCACATGATTTACCTCTTTCAGACGAAATCAACTTCGTCAAATATGCAGATGACCTGTCTGTATCGTTTCCCATTAAGTCTCAGTCAGACTGTTTCAAATTAAATAGCTTCCTGTCAGACATCAGTCAGTGGTCTAAACTAAATGGTCTCATGCTGAATCCCTCAAAATGACAGACTTAAATTGAAGCTAAGTCTAATGCAAAATACCTCGGTCTAATTATATCTTCCGACGTTACTTGGACATCTCATATCCTAACTATTTCTAAGAAAGTGTTCTGTCTAACCTACTGCATTAAGAAACTTAGACAATATGGAATCACCCAACCTCTACTTTCACAATTTGTCAACTCTTGTATCTTCCCTATTCTACTTTACTGCTCCCCGTTAGTCTTTCCAGGCCTACTGAGAAAGGACTATACCATCCTGAGAAGGATGCTGAAAGTAGTTAGTAGGACTAGTGGTGTAAATGTCAGTCAGCTCGTCACTACACTAGTTGATAGGCATCTGAATACGTGCGAAAAATAGTCTAAATCCATGCCATTCGACCCCCAACACACCCTCTATTCCCAACTCTCGCCTTTTATCTCATCAAGTAAAACCAGAAATCAGTATAAAATAATCTATGCTCGTACAACTAAGTACAGGAACTCAACGATATCGTAATTTGCCCGTGTTCTAAGTGACAGAGACAATGCTAAGTGCGAAACCTATGAATGCTCTGTTGTTAATATCATAATTTTAGTCTCTTTTATTTCCCTCTTATTTTGTATTCTATCGCGAACTCCTTCTTAAACACACTTAGCAACCTAAATGATTAACATTGCTTACTATTTTGTACTTGACTCTATTCCTTTGTTTTGTGTATCTACGGGTTCCGACTATATTAGCACTATGAGTATTATAAAATTGTCCTTTCATTAACCACCAAGTAATTATTAGTTTTGTGGTTGTTTATTTTCAATTTATTTTCAGCAATATTAACTGACAATCATTGGTTGTGAACAGCATTACCATCATCTCAAAATTTTCTAATATGCAGAGTTTGTCACACTACCACTACAAACACTGCATTAGACCTGACAATAAAATACAAAACAACAACCCTGAAATGTTATTTTATGGTTGTTTAATGTTGTTTCAACCAAATTAACTGATCTTCTTGGCGATAAACATCCTTAAATATCATTTCATAATTTTTTGTATGACTATTACTGTATTGTATTACTGTCAACATGCATGATCATCTCATAGCTTCCATTACCCAATACTGAGATATTATTATGCTCTGTTTATTTTCCTTTTTACTTCTTGGTATTTTTTCGCATTTTATAATAATTTTTGTGTTTTTGTGTTGTTGTCTTTGTATTTATTTTTTGAAATACTTCTTTTAAACGTTGGATAAAAGTAGATGCAAATATTGTATATATGCGCTGAAAATTCCACACTGTACCACTAGTACTGTTTCTGGAATAAAGCAAATTATTATTATTTCAGAGAATAGGTGTATCATATTTTTTTAATAAATGGAGTGAGATTCGATTTCATATATTGGTTTAGTTAAATAAGCCAACGTGGTGTGTGGTAATCATGTGATTTCAAGCAAAGTTTCATATAATTTTTAGACTGAAGAGAATCATTTGTTTGTATATTTGAACACCAAATTATGTGTGAAGGGCTATGCATTATTTGCCTTCCTGTTTGCAATGTGATCAACTGTATTTATTTACCTGATTGATGAGCAGAGTTCATTCACGCTTATCTTCTTCTTGAAAAAACAAGCTTATCTTTTTTGCATTCCGATTTGCTCATACTGACTTGGGTAAATAAAAAGATAAGAATATATGAATACATTGAATATATATAAATACATTGAAATCAACATTCACCTTATAATACCGCGCAGATGAAATCAGGTAAATTTATTATTATTGGGCGATTATTTATAGCTTTCTGTGTTCTTCATGAATTTGAGTTCTCTACCAGATAAACATGTTCTCTTCATACTTTACGGTTAACTTGTTTCTGTTTTCCACTCGGCTATTAACACCCATTTGTCTCTGAGCGCTTTTCCTCAATGACACGACACCTATTTCTCCAGAGGAAATATAAATTCCATCGCCTCTCACTGGAAAATATGATCCTATTCTCACGTAGAAATCATATATGTAGTCATAAATTTTATATTCTACGAAACATTTCAGTGATCCGCTTAGTGATGACAATAGTGATGACCAATATATGTACAGCTATATGGCTAGTATTGAGTTTGTTTGCTAACCGTACTAGAATCGCTGCTCACTCGATGACAGCAGAGCAGGAAGTATTGAATTCGTCTTCATCTAACTAGTGGAGTGCATTTTCATTTTCTGCTGTACAAATTACGATTATCAGCCTTAGTTTCACACTCGCACACCGAAATATACTGTCATACATTTTTCATATAACTGTCATGTTACAATTTATACATTTTAACAGAATTATCAAAGAAGATGGTTGATAAGAAAGCTGCAGTGAATTCCGTTTTAATAAATCGTGAATTTGAAACACCGGACAGATACCCGCAAAGAGTAGGTCTTGTATACATTGGTGAATATAATTACTGATTATAGGTTTTAGTTTTTCTTGCTGCAATATGCCCTATCACACTAGCCATAACATCTGCTCTGCCGTTCATGTATGTCAACATACATAAATGATTAATTAATTTTCTTTCAGACCAAAAACTAATCGACCAATTCTGATAGCGATTACAATATTATATGTCGTGCTGTATGTTCGTTATACAAATAATGAAATTGAGTTTATTAAATTGCATTAAACATTATATATAAATGTATATTATTATAAACTGGTCACTTTCAGTTCGACATTTTATATTTTACTATCAGAATGGTCTTCTAATTTTTGTCTCATCTCATATTCATACCTGATATACGGTAGTGACATCATAAGTTGTCTTCCAACATTACACATCAAGAGGAATATTACGTAAGTTTTACAGAAAATGTAAGTGAGGTCTGCATCTATCCAGTGGATAGGAAACCGCACACATTCATATCAAAAATCAAATTAAAACGAACGAGTTGAACCGCTGTCGGTGTGACTCAGTGCAGTATGCTGTAGCGTTTTGTACAAGTTGTAATGAAGCATTCCGACGAAACATGATGTAAGCTGTGACGTGGATGGTTTCAATCAAGATATCGGCTATGTAAGTGCAAGTGGAGAATCCTCTCTCCAACCGCCATTATAAAATGAGAGACAGTAATGATTTCGTCTTCACATTTTAGACGTTGAAGGGTAAGATATGCATATCCGTAGCATACTGACTGATTAAACTTATCAAATTTCTCATACTACACATTTTCGTTAAATGAAACACTGCTGAGAAATGATTCTTTATGCGTACTTCACTTCAAATATCTGATGAAATCAAAGCTACTGTTGAACTGCACTTAACCGAATAGCGTGCTACGCTCTTCTTCAAGATCTAGAACAGAATATTCGCTGGTGACTGCCATCTCATATATAGTAATCTGCGTTCATCATACCACTAATTAAATTGAGTTCAATAAATTTTATTGAAAATTATGATGTGTGTTATGCATTGACCATATTACACTTGGCTACATACATACTTGATATTTCCTTATTACAGTCATTTTCTAATTTTCGTCTCAACACATAATCCTGTTTGATTTTCGATAGCAACGTTATAAGTCACTTTCGAGCATCCTACATGAGAGTGGAATATTACTTCAGATTGTTACTGAAGATAGAATTGAGACATACCAGTCTTTTCTCGACACATATCAAAATGTTTTCAAAACACACTATCAACTTACCTATTTCACATCCACAGGTTTACTAAAGCCGAGAGTATCATTTCTCACAATAATTCGAATAGCTAGAACTTCCATTATACGTATGACTCAGTGCATTATGTTGTAGTGATTTGTGCAAATGCTGAACATGCAATTTGATAGGATAGAGTGTAGACTGTGATGCGAAACGAAAATTTAAGTCGAGTCAACTACAAGAGTACTTGTGATGTCACACCTATTTTCTTAAATATCAAAAAGTTTCCAGATAAATAACCAAATTTCCAGAAGCTGATAAACACAGTGAAAAGGAGAGAATGATTATGTCTAACCTCAGTTATAAAATGAACAGTGATAACGATTCTGTCTTTATTATTTAGGCATTTCAGTGTGGGGTTTATATTTTCGTAATTGTGCACAATTTTTACAATTCACGATATATATATCATTTATTTCCCTTGCATTTTAGGTGGATTGTTGAAGTCGCAGTATCGTATTTCCTATTCGCATCAGACGAAATAAGGAAAAGATTTCCCGTGAATTTGTTGTTGACGATGTTACATGTAAGAAGCCGATGTCTTTATCATTTCTGAGGATTTTTAAAACAAATTACACGACGAAGTAACACACGATGCTTTTAATTTCCCGGTCGTAACGTAGTTTCTTCATACATTCAAGATGAAACAGGTTGTAGGAATGCATGTTGAGTAAATAGGTTTAGTTCATAAGTACTGTAGAATATTGCATCAGGTATGAGTGAAGTCCCTATTGCTTATGAAATACCCATTGTTTATGGGACATATAGAAGAAGCAGATTCTTGATATAGTGGTTCCTATGCTTTTTCAGTGATTTGTAATGCAGTTATAACATATTTCATATTTCCTGGTTAGATATGCATACCTATATGATGTATTCAAATCACTTGGATTCAACACTAGTGACTGGTGTAACGTGTTTAGTACGCCAATTGCTCAGTGGTAACGTCCACTCGAATCTCAGAAAGGACATGAGTTTCTTCAAGGACGCAGATACGCCGTGCTGATTAGTGCCAACTAGCACGAAACCTAGGTCAAGCAAGGCTTCCTGCCGATTGCCCCCAACCATCTAGTATACAAATCATGTTATATTAGGTAATATTCATACTAGCAATGACTTCGAACAGTGAACTGCGTCTACGGAAACATTCAGTTCGCCAAAGTATAAAACATTATCACTTCACTGAGGTGATGATCTTTCTGAATACTACTGACTAACTATTACTGCTCCCTATGCATTTGTGTAGAATCACCCTCTAGCCTATTCACCTACACTGTGAAATTGTGTTCCTGAGACTATTGTGATATTTATTTATTAAAACACAATTTTTGTATTCGGTTCACTCCTTTTTTGTAGTCCGCTTGCATCACCGTAATAGCAGAACCCTCATACTTTGCGAAAGACTATAGATGGGTATTGGGTGCGATGGCGATAGCTGTGGTTCTCTTCATCATATGCATATCGATAGGTGCAGCGTCGAAAAGTAAACTTAATGTGGACAACCCAGCAATGGTGATAGGCTACATTGTCTTCTCAGTCATAATCGGCATTGTTACACTTGTGGTTTACTTTACGACCAAAAACGTAAGTGGAAACAATTATTTTTATTTTTACAAGAAATAGACTATGTGATTAAACTATTTATGATTCAAGCATCGAAATATACCATTACTTTGTCAATTGAGTGACTAGTGTGACTGAGTCACTAATGTGAATTAAACAGGTGTAGAGCGGTATTTTGAACAATTATTCAGTGTCGCATGTATCTTATTTTATAAAGAAATGTTTTTATGTAATATCCTGACTGCATATACGTTTTCTGTTAACTAACTGCATCTATCATTAATTTTTTCTGCGTTATAGTCCACTTGGACTAGGATGATTCTGGCAGGAGGTATGACCATTGTAATAATCCCTGTAAGTTTTCATTTTCGATGTTCATTTCTGTTAATTAAAGCTGCTTTATCAAAGCTGACGATCACATAACCACTCAGTGTCTTATTCAGACTTCACTTACGATTGACAGTAAGCAACTTCTAGTGCAAAACACGAGACTGATTTTGCCAAATTTCACACTACAATCATTAGTATTATTATCCTCTCAGGTTACAAATGGAACTTAGGATTTCCGCACATACCACTGTTTCAATCTGTTTTCTGAAGTTATTTGTGGTTGGTTCCACGACTCTCCAGAAGCTTTCATCATCTTCTTACATGATCTCACCAGTGTCACATTTCGAGGCACACCCAACACGTTGATTTATATACATGCTTCACTCAGCAGTCTCATCATCATATGACAAATCCAATTAATCTGATTTTCCTTCAGCATATTTGCCATGAAGTAGTCTAACAGCTGGTTCTCCACTAAACGTTAAATCTGCATTATGCAGTTAGAGGCGATAGCTGTTGGTAAGTCTGTAGCTTCTTGGAAATCCTATTCAGGATAGCATAACAATCTGGAACATATAGAACCACTGATTTTGCATTACTGTTGAAGATCCGGATCTTCGTAATTATGTTCAGCACATATGTGACAACGTCCAGTCACTTGGGTGAGTGAAATTATCGAAAAGGATATTCACTGGTCAATTATTTTGTGTTTTATAGATGTCCGAATGAATGATTTTGCTATATTCATTGTGTGTGTTAAATTTTATCAATACACTGAAATTCTTCAAAATATTACCACTCATATTTTCCCTTATCTACCATGTTTATCAGGTCGCCTTATATGTCGGTCAGTCAACACTTGGCCCACCTGAATTCAGAGAGTATGATGACGATTACTGTTCAGCTGCAGTGGTTATACATGCCACTCTTGTCATCTTTCTGGTTATGCTCAGCCTTGGAGTGATACAAATACCGAAGGAAAGAGAAATTATGTTAGCAGGACTGACTGAACCAATTTCGTGTTTTTCAGTATAAAAGCATTACAGTACGAAAGTGTGCATTTTATGGTCAACTGTCTACAACCACAGTTCATACTGTTGTGTTCATGATTTGTAATCCGATTAAATAAATAAATTCACTTTTTACACAGAAGGTGTATAATTCCGAAATATCACTGTTATTTTCCAGATGTGTGATTTGCAGTACCATGAAAAGGTTGTTCTGACCGACACTGTCAGTTACAGTGATTCATTTCATACTGAATTCCATATTTTCATATGGAATGTCAACCATCAATGATTGATCAGGCTCATGTTTGCGGAGGCATCACTGTTATGAACGAAAATGCAACTCCAAAGATTTTGACACTGATGCGTTTAAGATTACAGCAGTGTCTGTTTCCTTTGAATACTAAGTAACTGCTGTTCCCAAAGTATCTGATGAATGTCTTACAGTAGTTTGCAAGGATATCTTTGATGGAGGTGCTCTGCATAGGACGTGTTGCTGTGAATCAACCTCACGAATCGCTGACTGACATCACTGACTGATTTTCCACACTGGCACGTATGAATCATCTGAAATCAAACTGTATTCCGTAGGATGCATATTTGAACCTTCAGTGATAGCAGAGAGCTGCGTCTAGTATACTTTGCATCATTCAGTGGGATAAAAGAAATAGTTCTAATGCATCAATGTTGACCAATAAAAGTCCTTTTGAGGACTCGAGTGATTACTCACTGCTATCCATTCAAATACGTGATTTAGTTGTTCATCTTTTCAAATTATTGAGGAAGTATTTATCCTCTACAGACTTTGAAAA